AAATTAAACTCATTAATTTCCAAAGATTGCTGGCCAGAAAGACCTCAGCATTTGACTTTCTCTACCTGAGAGAGCAGGGATGTGTTGGTGCACTATTATACCTAGTATTTACATAGGTGTAAATAGGAAGATGCAAACTCAAGCCCCGATTCTTGCAGAGTAAGCATGTTGCCCACTGAACCATCCTCCTAGTCTGACTTTGGTGATTTCCAATCTTCCCACGGTGAACATGTATAAGACAATGTAGGTATCACAATATGTGGGAAATACGACATGGAAGAGCTAAATGGAAGACACTGTAAACTTGTCAAATGTGATTTCATTAAGTCTAGCAAACTATACTCTTCATTACATCCTGGTCTGTGTCTCACTGTTAACCTATTCCATGTGCACTATTCCAATAAGATGAGACTCTTTTAGAGAAAAAGGTCTCCAGCTCCCAGCACTGTGGTTCACAAAAGTCCTTGCAAATTGTGGTCTTTCTCCTCTTGCTGTTTGTCAGATAGTCTCTTGTGTAATCATATCAGGTCAGAGTTGTGATGTTACGGAATGAACTGGCCCATTTTGTTGTCAGGATACTGATGCTTTTGATTCTACACCACTGATTGTTTTAGTTTAGGAAAGAAGCACAGGCATGCCTGTTTGTTTTCTCAGTGGCTAGCAAGACTCTCACTGAAAATGGGAACTTTCAAGGGAGTTCATAGTCATTATCAGAACCATCAAAACTATGGTGTGCCTATGATAGAATGTTATCGCTCTCTATAGTAATTCAAGAACTTGTACTTCTTTCTTATAAGTTTTAATTTTCATACTACAAATTAATGTACTATATTTAATGAGTGCAATGTTTAGGAATTATTAATGAACCACTAGCAAGTGATGGAGTCCTGACATGAATGTGTGAAGTGTGTTACATTTCTTAACAAATAAAGGTCCAGTTATTTGAGTTACCCTGATAATGACTATAATAGAGTTGAAAAACTTTCACCATATCAAGTCATTTAGAAAATATTCAGAGGAGGTGCTATTCTGCCCAGTAATGATCCTAGGGATCATTCGCCAGTGTAAAATTAATGTATTATGATCTGCAATTACCCGTATTTCACCTGGCTCTGGCAGAACCCAAGTATATTCATTGAAGAATGTGATACAAGATGGACACAAGGTGTTTGTTGCTGTCATAATGAATTTCATTCTTCAGAGATAATTTTAGTATAACTTATTCACTGTCTATCAGTTGTGGAGAGATTTAGAGGTCTCCCACTGGTCTTGCTAACAATAATGATCTTCATACCACAGGTCAGGGATCAATGTTGAGTTTTAGCTAGTCCCATGCCTGTGAATTTCAACTACATATTCATGACTAGGTAAATTACTACAAACCTATTAGATAATATCAGAATGGACAGGAATGAAACATTCCAGGAGCATCTGTAATATGGATATTCCAATCCCTGAAATCTTTACAGTTCCCAAATATTAGCTTCATTTTGGACTCAGTTCCTGATAAATTCCCATAGTATGTGGACGTGTATCTTTTCTTTAGGGAAATTCTTTCTGGTAATGACTTTAGCTTTCTGGGAACACTGCACAGATACTTCATGATATTTTATTAGCCATATCTGACATATTCTTGATTAATTTCCATCAAGGAAAATGAGACTTCCTCTACCTCTGGCATCTGCTTCTTTCAATTTGTTCAGTAGTAACTACTAGTTAGTTAGGCTTTTGGATTTCTTTACAGAGTAACCTTAGGAATTAGTTTTTCCACCTCTACTCTTTTTTTAGCAACTGACTCTCAGTGTGGATGAGGCTGTCCTTGAACTGATCATGTTGCCCACCTCATTATTTTTATGTTTTGCAGACTTACAAAGTCTCTTTGACTATATACTTAATGAACTGACTCCATAAACTGCTGCTATCTCTACTTCTGTGACTCGGACCATAGCAGGGTCATCAGTGAGTCTATGTTGCCTCTGTTTAATCTTAACTCTGAGGGACTCTCAGCAGTAATGAAGGAGACTCATTTCCAGGACACTGTCCTTTCCTAGTTCATTCCTTTGTCCACTGAGCACAGCAATTAATTTCTTAATGGTTCTTATTTTCCCTAAAATGTGAGTATCAGGGAAAATACAGGCTCAGTTTTACAAATTATAGGAAGTTATGCTGACCTTGCTTGAGACTGTACACCATCTCCTTTTGGAGAATATAGCTAAACAGTTCCATAGATGAATAAGCCAGGTTGGCCAGATTTATCGATCTTCTACCCATCCATGTAATAATATCTGTGTATATAACTATCAGTGTATCTATTCATGTATCTTTCTATTATCCATCATCTATCAACTATCAATCATCTATCTCTCATCATATAGCTACCATCTATTAACCACTTATCAATCACTTACCATCATCATTTCTCAATCTATGTATCTACATATATCTTATAAACAGAAAACACTCTTTTCTTCTAAAATGTAAAGCTTATATTAAAAAGCAATATGATACATTAGTTGAATAAGGAAAATAACAATAGACATACTAAAGTGGGCAGAGAAAACCCCATGAGGCCTCGACCCTACTAATAAACTGTAGCCACCAAGGAATTCTGAGTAGGAAAATAGTCTTTTCCAGGGATGAGCATATCAACTGGTTATCTGATACTAAATAGTCATCTCTGAAAACATATGTATACACACTGAACATGTTGTATTTACATATGCATATTACAATAATTAATGAAAAAGGAGGAAAAATGAATTTGAGAGACAGCAGGGAGGGATATATGGGAGGGTTTGGATGGAGGAAATGGAAGAAGGAAATGATATAATTATGACCTCAAAAAAATAAAAGAAAAAATTAAACTAACAATAAAAATTATTAAGAATTATGACTCAGTAATTTGTTCACTTGAGTTTTTAAATAAATTGTAGTGATGGTGATCCAGAATGTGATGTAGTTTTCTTCTTTTTAAATATAAATATTGAAGATGCATAGTTAGTGGGTTATTACTTAAAATATAACAATATAAACAGAGAGATGCAGTGAAAGCATTTTGTTCAGTTAAATCCTTTTAAATTGCTTATATTTTGTAGAGACAGTATATAAAGTATCAATAATAAAATAAAAATCAACATTAATGCACTAGTTTGTAAATATATGTAAATACATTGTTTACAAAGACATTCATACAGACAGCCCCCATCTGAGGTAATGATGTGTCAGTTTACTCTGTAGATGAAATATGTGGGTTTGCTTCTCAAGGCCACTCTCACTGATTCTGGAAGAGACCACCTTTCCTAGGAATTGCTGTTCAGGTAGAAGCTCAAATGTTTCCTATGTATAGTGACAGGTACAGGGCTGGGGTGGGCTCAGGGAAACACCTGGGGTTTCTGTCGCTCTCTCCCAGTAGACACAAGTTCTGTCACTTTTTAAAAGACCTTGAAGTTCCAGTAGCAGCACACACTGCACACAACCCCACCCCTGAGAGGGTTTTGCATTTCTCTTTGTCTTCTTCCTTACTTTTGTCACATGGAAGGAGCCATACTAGGAGGACCTTCTTGCTTTTACATTGATGGTAAGGTTATATTTTCTATTATCTTGTATTCTTAGCAAGTTCCCTCAAAATATGTCAATAGGTGTCCTAATTTTTCCTCCTCAGCATGGCTTACCTCTAAATCTTGAGTTTCCCCCGCCCCAGGAAACTGAGGTTGTGGTCATACTGGAATACCACATCTTTTCCTGAAATCTGCATAGTTTTTTAAAATGTTATTTTTATTAATATCTCTTCATGCAGCCCAGACTAGCTGTGATCTTGTCTTCCTATGTCAGCTTCTTTGGTGCTGGACTGTATTTATCCGTGTGCACCATCCTTCCTCTTCCTGAAACTTTATGACACATTTTCCTATTATCATTGATTCTTTTGTTGTATTTTGGAGAATGGTATGATGGCTTGAGTCATTTTCCAGACTTTCTAGGCACAATCTAGGAAGTCATCCTTCATCTGCCATGATACCCAAGTTAGGCTAGTGGCATAGTTCTTGCTGCAAAGTGGAGGAAACAGATAATGTCTGAAACTCCTTGGTGTTGGTAGGGATCAGATGCTAATAAAAGGAAACAGTTATGAAGATTTTTGCTATGGAGACAAAGTAATTTTATCTTTGTATATTTTATAGCACTGTAGGAAAATCCCTATATTTCTTTTTCTCATAGATACAGTAGTCACAAGTTTACAAATTTTTATATTCCTTCTGCATCAGCTATACTTGAAAATAATTTTACACAATGTCTCACCAGTTATCACAGCATCTAGCATGAAATAGATGCACAATAAATGTTAAACATGAATGTTTGAATTAAGAATGAAGATTTGGATAGAAATAAACATGTTTATTTATTAGAGTATATTTATATGTACAGGCATATGTGTGAATGATGCCCTTATAAAAAGTAAAATCATTAGTATCCCCAGTGCCAAGTATTTTAGGAGTAATAGTTCCATCATTTATTAGGTAACTGACAATGTATAGGAAGGATTTTGGAAAACATGTATAGGGCCCTTTATAGATAACATTTTAATGTACTCTATGAGCTACTTATTTTATATGTGATTCCAGATTTTTGTTTTCTGACTGAGTTATATTTCTATAATGTTAGTAGTTCAGAAAAAAGTATCCAGACTAAAATATGTAGATGAGACAAAACAAAAAAATAATTAATTATAATTTTATTTTCATGGCAGCATGTAGGAAGTCAATGTTTCCTTCAGTAGCAACTACAGAGGACACGTCAGGCTCAGAGTATCTGGATGAAGTTCTGCTTGGCTGTATTGAACAGCAAAAGCTTTTTTGTGGAGAAAACAAACCAGCTCATTAGTGAATTTTGGTATTTGATTGACATTGACTATGAGAGTTCATGAAAGTGAATATGTTGAGAATCAGACACAACATTCTAGAAGATTACATTAGTGCATCTTCAGTTGTGCAGAAGAAGTCAGCACCATGGCAGGGATAATAAGCGCTGTCCTCCAGGTCACATTGATAACTATTGTAAGTGTGGAATTCATCATAGGAAGCTTAGGAAATGCATTCATGGCAGTGGTGAACATCGTGGACTGGGTGAAGAGAGGAAAGATCTCTCCTGTGGATCAAATTCTCACTGGTCTGGCCATCTCCAGAACTGCTTTTTTGTTTATATTAATTACAAGTTTGTTGGAAACATTACTGGGCCCAGCATCAGTGGAAAAGAGAATGATAATGCATACCATTTCCTGGACAGTGACCAATCACTTCAGTGTCTGGCTTGCTACATGCCTCAGCATCTTTTATTTTCTCAAGATAGTCAATTTCTCAAACTCTGTTTTTCTTGCCCTCAAACGGAAAGCAAAAAAAGTTGTTTCAATGACACTGGTGGTGTCTCTGATAATCTTGTTTTTAAACATTATAGTCATAATATTACTCTGTGATAGACCTAAAGTAAACACACCTTACTGGTCTAGTTCAAATAACACTTTAAAAGTTTATGAGCTATTTTTATTTACCAATACTATGTTCACACTCATCCCTTTCACTGTGACCCTGATTACTTTCCTCCTGCTCATCTTCTCCCTGTGGAGACATCTGAGGAACATGCAGTACAATGTTGAAGGATTCCAAGATGTCAGCACTGCGGCTCACATAAAGTCCCTGCAAAGCGTAGTCACCTTCCTTTTACTATATACCGTTTTTGTTATGTCACTTTTTTTACAGACTTGGAATATTAGCTTTCAACAAAAAAAACTTATTGTTATGGTTTTACGGAGTACAGGAGTAGCCTTTCCCTCAGTCCACTCATGTGTCTTGATTCTGGGAAATGGTAAACTGAGGCAGGCCTCTCTTTCGATGCTATGGTGGCTGAGGTGTAAATACAAATATACAGAGAATTGAGGTCCTTAAAATATGTCAGGTATCCTCTTTCACATTACAGAGAAAATTCAGCTTGTAATAAGTAGATTTTAGATAGGAATCAGGTTTATGAACCTCAGAGGTCATAAGCCTTCAGGCAAAGAATTCATTAGAGAGGCAGATAGAGAATATTTCTGTCTGTGAGCAGGCAGCAATGCGGGGTATGAGGATAAGCTTCTGTCTGTCATGGAGAGCAGACTGTTTTATAATGTCTCTTGTGGGACAGTGGTGGGGTGGGGAGAAGTTGTACCATGAGGATATGGACCCCATATTAGCTGATATCATCTAACCAGAGATGGAATCAGTATGTGTTTTGATAGTCTGGCTACAGTGAGTGATTCCAAGGGTCCATGGACAGTCCTGGGTAAGAGGCCTTTGCAAGCACAAAGGGACTACTTAGTATATAATATAACAGGTGGGTAGTATTTCTGTATTCAGTCATTCTCTTTTTGGGGTCCTGATGTCTGGAAAGGTCACAGGAGGTGAGAAGTACTATTGTACCATGAGTTCTGGAGGAATGAAAGACTGCAGAATGGAAGTTCAAGTACATGATGTGACAGTATTGAGAGGGAAGAGAGATTTCAGGGGTGTGGGTGAATCTAATGATAAGGGATGTTTATAAGTATAAATTTGTTATTTATCAAATGTTTTTCAATTGTATCTAACTTTATGAAATCTAGAAAATTCTAAGTAGATTAAGCACTATCCAAACACAGTCCAGGTTTGCAGAAATGGTACAAATATGTATATTGTCATAGAAAGATGTGCATAAAGACCACTTACATCTAAAAACAGATATTGATATAAGTTAAGTATCAATCATTATCTTTTTAAAGATTTAAAAATGATTGAGTAATATATGAGATGTGTCTATGCACATACAAGTGAGGCATGAAAAATGCAAAATTGTTTCATTCTATGACAAAAGAATGAATTCATAATCTAGAAAAAGTAAAAATTGAATATATAATAGAGGTTTGGACATCAGATATACTTATCCAATGTTTGAGTATAAGATCAATTTAGAAAATTAAAACAAAGAAGCAAAAAACTTTTGGGCCACCTAGCAAATGCCTTGACCTGCTGAGTTAGATCCTTTCTCCATAGGATGTCTAGGGGGATGCAACTAATGTCACTGTCTTGTCCTCTGACATTCACACATCACCATGAAGGATATCCACTACACACTGATAGTAAATACTTCCTTAAAAAAGAAAAACATTTTCAGTTTCTTCCAGTTTCATACCTAAAAGTTACCCAAATTATTCCAGTATAATGCAAACTTGGGAGTTAGAAATTGAGATAAAGAAAGACCTGATAAATCCAAGGAACAGCAGAGGGTTGATTGGCTGACCCTCTCTCCACATTTTTCCCCAATCCACCAGCCCTGGAAATCCCCTGGGAATCCCACTTCTCTCTTCTTGTCCCCCTCTAGCCAACTAGCTCAGTCCTCCAGCAACTCTATGGCTAATCCCAGTCAGCCAATCATTGACTCCATCTGTTGATTCAACTTGGTTTTATTGGCACAGTGGAATGACCATATGAACAATTCTCCCACAACATTTCCCACTTTCTGTGTAAATAAAAACAAAAGATCTCAATTCTAAAATAGAAAAACTATATACAATAAGAACAATTATCAAGTAAGATATACATTCACAATGTCCAGTTCATTAGTATTTGGCAAAATCAGAGAAAATACTCTATTATCTATCCTAGGTTGGTGAGTTCAAAATTTTGTACCTAATTGACTTTGTATCATAACTAAGGGAAACTGTAATTATAATTACCTCATCTTTAACCCCTATCAGAGACTTGAGAAGGACATAATATTAACCTAGTAAACAGAAAGTGCAGAATAAGCAGCTTCTAAAATTAGGAAATGATGAAAACTTCTGGCTGCCTGGACAATCACCCAAGGTTCCTCTGCGATGTTGGAGCATCCATCTTCAGTCTATAGGCCTAAAGTATCTGACAGACTTTTCCATGAAGCAGTAATTTTGAAGGACTGTTCTACCTTATCTTGGCAAAGTTCAGCAGCTGCCTTCATTTGTGTCCTGCTTGTCCAATTTGGACAGCAACTGTCAGCAGTTGAGGCAAGGACAGTTTCTTTGCCCAGTGTCTAACTTTGCCACAAATGAAAGCAAACTCCATATGGAGGTTCTTTGATGTCCATCATCGTCTTTTGCAGTAAATTGGTGCTGCCAGGAGCAGATGTGTCTCACTGTTATGAAAAGTCTTATATTATTAAAACATTAAAATGCCAGAACTCTGAAGCATTTGAAGACCGTGAATCTATTTAAAATATGTCTCTGATTGACCTTGAAAGCATACCTAACATGACTATATGTTTGATTATTATAGATGACTAACTACTAACCTGTATTTCTTTATTAACCTAAATAGCTTTCAAGGACTAGAACTTTACAATTTTAAATGAGCGCATAGGTACAATTCCTTAAACAAGAATAGAAACATATAATACAGTATAATAAAAATGTTTGTATTAATATACAAAAATATCTTAAACAAGCATAGAAACATGTATACAGTATAACAAAAATAACCTTAGATTTGCATCAATATATAAAAATCCATACCGATGTAAAATATTTTTGACTAGTAGTTGCTTTTTTAGTTTGAAAGTAGATTCAATAATCTACTCTTTTATTCTATCATTTCTATATCTCTCCCTTTTTTTTCAGAATGAGATGCCAGAATCTAATTTTCTTTGCTTAGTTTCTTCCCCAACCATGACCAATAACAGCTTGCAACCAGCCACCTTAAATAATGACAAACCTCTATTAAACAACAAAAAACCATCCACCATACCTCTTGGGGATGTGGGTGTCATGTTCTTAAAATTATTTCCTGCTCTCTGGGGGTGATAGCATCTTTAGGGGACTCTGAGAAAAATTGAGATAAAGATCAAGTTCTGTGAGAGTCAGCTGTTGTCTAGTCTCTGTTTGATGGGAGAGTGCAAGGCTTATCTGAAGTCCTGACTGGAGGAGTTTAAGAGGCTGGATTATCTTAGATAACTTATTTGAAGTTATACTGAGAAGACTGTAGTCCAAAGCTAATATTTGGGTAGCCTAGTGGCATTACCACAATCCAGGTGGAACAGTCATTGTGGGGCCCCAATATCCTTTTGGAGACTTGAAAGGTCACTGCTAGGAATGGTCATGGTTCACTGCAGAAAATTTAGACAGTTTAAATGTCATATGCAGCAGATATTGGAGAAGTTAAAGGACCACAGTCTATTAAATACATCTGGGCTACAAAAACTTAGTTACTAATTACCTGCTTCAGACTCAAGCTCAAAATCACATACAGGAAACTAGATAAAGCCTATTTATAGAATTAGTTAGTACTCTATATGACCATTAAGATCATGACAGTTTATATATATATATCTCTATATATCTATATATATATCTTATAAAATTTGAGATAATATTTATACATTAAGAAAAGTTTTAAAGAGTCGATATAAAACCAAAGGATTGTGAGATTAGTGGCAATAGAATAGTTTCAATTTTTTTTTTTTTGTTCCATACCAGGTGGTTCTTTGGAAATGAGACAGAGATTTTGGATTTTCCTTTAACATGCATGCTTGTGTTTAGAGAAGGAGAGAACTATGCTCCAAATCCAAAGTTGGCTTTAATTTTTAATTGAATCAGGAATTAAAAAAAGACCACTTGCCTTATATGTCTGTAGAGAACAGTAGAAACAAACATTTGGGAAGATTTATGAGTTATTATCCGGTTGGAATACCACAGGCCAATTACTCTTTTTCTTGGGACATTTTCTCTCTATGATTTGTCCTTCTTTTTCAGATGTCTCATTTGTCCAGTGGACTTCAGATTCCTTAGTTGGATGTTTTTATTGTCCTGTAAAGACAAAAACAAAACCCTGCACTAGCCTTAATTTAGGGAATTTCCCTTCTTGGCACAATGAATGCCCACACTGTTTGATGAACTACTGCCTCTCTTAACCAAGAAGTCTCTCCTATTCCAATCTAATCTTTCTGATGATATCCATAGCTTTTTTTTCTCCTGTGGAAACAAAAGCAAAACCTTTTCACTAATGTAATACATATCTTAATTTGCATTCTAAGGCCAACACATCCTTAAAGTATACAAGCTGATTTAATTCAGTGTTTTTTTCTACTATCCAATGCCTCTCTGCAGCTCTTTTTCCTTACTTATTAGCATTGAAAAATTTAAAGTCAATAAAGCATCTATCTTTGGGGTCTTTATTATCCCTTTCTGTTTATTAAGCATATCTTTTAAAATGTGATTAGGTATTTTTTGTAACTTCTTGTCTTGTAGGATTGTGTGGTATACCTGTAATATGCTTTATGTTGTAGTATGCAAAAAACTGTTTCATTTTACTAGAGGCATATGCTGGAGCATTGTTAGTCTTAATTTGGACAGGTAATTCCACAATGGCCATAACTTCTAATAAATGTGTGATTACAGAATCAGCCCTTTGAGAACTCAAAGTAGTTTCCCATTGAAATTCTGAATATATATATATATATATAGTGTGAGGCACATACTTTAATTTTCCAAGCTCCACAAAATGAAACACAACCATTTGCGAAATTTCATTTCTCTGAGTACCCTTTGGATTACTTCCTGCAGATAGTGGAGTTAGGTTATATAAAGAACAAATAGGACATTTCCTTTACTTGTTGCCAAGTAATAGAAAAATCTTTCCTCAAACTCTTGCTATTAACACGGTGTTTTTTTTTGAAATACTGAGGTTTTTAGCTCATTTCCTAACAATAACTGATCAGTTTCATCATTACTTTGTGCTAGAGGGACTGGTAGACTAGTATGGGATCTGATATGCGTTATATAAGGGATGGTTTCTATTCTGATTATTTCTTGTAATTGAATAAATAACAATGTTAATTCTGAATCATTTGGATGAGTTAAGAAGTTTCAATATGTAAAACAACCCCTTCTGCATATTGA